TGGTTAGGGTTGGAAGGGACCTTAAAGATCATTTAGTTCCAACCACCCTGCCATGGGCAGAGAAATCCTCCACTACACCAGGTTGCCCAAAGCCTCATCTAACCTGGCCTTGAACACTTCCAGGGATGGGGCATCCACAACTTCTCTGGGAAGGTGATAGTGCAAATAATCCTATAAGCTATTTCCAAGATGCTGACTGGAAGTAGTCAGTATGGATTTACAGAAGGGAAACAATGCTCAACCAATCTCATAGTCTTTGATAAAACGACTAGCTTGATGGATGAAGCAGAAGATATTATTTGCTTTGACTTTAGCAAAGATTTCAGCACCATCTCCTATAATATATTCCTTGACAAACTGATCAAGGGCAAACTAGGTAAGTGAACGGTGAGGTGGGCTGAAAACTGGCTAACTGCCAGGCTGAAAGGGGTATGGTCAGCAGCACAAAGTCCAGCTGGAGGCCAGTCACTACTGGCATATGCAAGAGATCAATCTTGGGGTTAATGCTACTTAACATCTTAATTAATGACCTGGATGACGCAAGTTTGCAGAAGATACAAAACTGGGAGGAGCAGCTGATACACCAGAACATGGGAAGTAGTTGCTTACAGAGGTCATGGAGTGCCCATCCGTGGACATATGCAAAAGCTAACTGGATATGGTCCTGGGCAAACTGCTCTAGCTGACCCTGCTTTAAGCAGGGAAGTTGGACAAGGAAAGCTCCAGAAATCCTTCCCACCCTCAAGCATTCTGTGATATTCAGGCATTTGTGACATCCAGCAGTGTCTCATCAACACTTTAATAACATAACTGCTACAGCAAATTCTCTGTCCTGAAACACCACTAATCTTTCAAAATAAGTTACAGCATCCATTTGTAGTATCAAATAACTAAGCGATAACTGACAAAGTTATTTCAGGTGAGTATTTTTGTTCATTTATTTGTCAGCTTTCAAAATTCAAGTATTAGTGTAAACTGGTGATATTCTACGTTTTAAAGCATAAATTTTCTTTTAAACCAGTTAACAGTAAATGAAAGTTCCTAGTATTTAGTAATGTTATAAAGTATGTTAACATTTACTACAAAACCCAATTAAGAATAAAAAGACCAAAACTGTTATTCCCTAAATACTGCAATGACAGTGAAATGAACAAACTGAGGTGGCCTATATTCACCATACAGGCTACTGAACATTTTTTATATCACATAAAAACAGTTCATATTACTTACTGGTCTGGGAAATATACATCTTTAACAACATAAGATGTGCAAGACAGAACTGTAGGGTGATATACTAATAATCTAATATATTCCATTCCAATCATAAATACTGATCATAACAGTACATAATAATATAGATCCATTTCATTACAAAAACAGATGAAGAGAACAGACAGGTTTTATTAAACACAATAATTTAGGACTGAGTATGTTAGCTAGATCCTACTGAAACATACCTTCTATTCTTCATGCTTATATCTTCAATGCTTTGTTGCTGAATGCTTGGAAGTTAGGTGATTTCAAAAGAGTGCCTGTAGAGATGCTATATTCAGATATCTGGACACAGGCAATCCTCTAACATCAAATATTAAATGGATGAACACAAGATTTATAGAAGCCATACAACTGAGGCTCTATCAGGCCTCCCAGGAAGCTGTGGTGGAGATGCCTTCAAGCAGATAAGAACCTTGCAGGAAAGAGACTGGCTCAGCTATCAAATTTCTTGCTACTTATCTCCTGCAGATCGTCTTCTTTCCTCATCTGCAGAGCTCATAATGTCATGAAAATTACTAGAGTAATATCAGCTGTCCTTACACCCTTGAGGAATCTTTCCAGGGAGTAAGGTCTTATACTAAACACTAGAGAGGCTTCTTTATTCATCCATTATTCCTGACAGCACTGTGTTTAGAAATCCAGCCTCATCCTGTGCACCTCCTTGCAGCCATGTCACACATTGAGGTGGTTTGACTATTAACAGTAAGCACCACAGCAGAAATTTACTGGCTAGTTGCAAGTTGTCTACAACTGCCTGAAAGAAGGTTGTAACCAGGTGGGTGTTGGCTAACACACACCAGAAGAGGTTTAGATTGGATAATAGGAAAAACTTTTTCACCAAAAGGGTTGTCGAGCATCAGAACAGGCTGCCCAGGGAAGTGGTTGAGTCACCATTCCAGAACGTATTTAAAAGACATGTAGATGTGGTATTTAAGGACATGGTTTAGTGGTGGACCTGATAGTGTTTGGTTTACAGTTGAACTCCGTCATCTTAAAGGTCTTTTCCAACCTAAATGATTCTATGAATATAATCAGCACAAATAAGCAGATGAAGTACTCAGTTCTAGTAGCGATCCAGGTATTTTCTAAATGTTTTGGTTCAAGCAGCCACAAAAGAAAGATCCTCTCATACAGAATGGGTGTTAAATAAATCAGCACATTTCATCTTGATCTGCAAATGTCTCCTTGCTCTTATGCTTTCAGGAATGAAAATCAGAGCTGAAGTCGTATTCATTCATTAACATCATTATGAAAATCACATATACTAAGGAGTCCTGTGTATCTGTTCTTCATACCCTATCACAACATCCCTCTCAAAACTGCAGTATATCTAAGAAATGGACTCTTCAGACAATGTGTGTTGCAAATGCTTTGTCAGTGAGTACTAGCCAGTCCTTGTGGAAAAAGCATGAAAGAAAAAAACAATTGGATTTTTTTTGTTCTTTTTTTTTTAAAAAAAAAAAAGAACATAAGTCCATCATTTTGCGCTAGTCATTTCCACTTTTGGATAGCCTTCAGAACATTATTTCATCTCATTCCATATTTTAATGAAAGTCCGCATAAAGCACATGCTTGGACTTCACAGGTACTCCATTTGCAATCAGCTATATACTCCAAAAATCAAGCCAAAAATATATGAAGCCCTTATTAGTAAGAAATTACTGTCTTCTTCCTTTGGGGCAACTGCATTAAGATTCAAAGGAAAATCCAAATCCAACATATCACAGTGCTGCTGCACCGCTTACTCAATAAAAATTACAGAGGCTCTGCTTCCGTAGAGAGCCTCAGGGCTACCAATTACTCAAATATTTTAAGTCTTATATTCCCTCATTTGAGGAATTATGTTGATAATTTATATAATCTACATACCTGATCACTGCTAATCTTACTTAAAGATTGCTTAGCATTTCTACTTCAGCTCCCTGTTTTTTTTTTTTAATGTAAGTTTTCCATAGTTAAATTATTTCAGATTTCATTAGTTCAAAAACTAGTACTCTACACAGGCTTTCCAGAAACAGCAGTAGCTTTTTAAAAGAGAAAAAACACGCTGTGTTTCAACTGTGGGGAATTTTCTCCCTGTAAGCATTCTGAAGTGTTTAGTTCAAAATTAAGTTTTCTATTTTCAGTTAATAATTCAAAAAGCAGACCCAAATTATGTCAGCATAGCAGTGCACACATTTATCAGAAGTCCAGCTTGCATTTAAAGCGGTACTTCCACACAGAGACAGGAATGAACAACTGCTTTATTCTGCATGGAAAAATAAACTGTTCACACCAAAACTGCAGGCGTTGGCAGACCTGCACTGAGCTGCAGATTCGACTTTAGCCCACGTCAATTGCATTACCTACGAGAGGGGGAAAAGGTGGCTATGCTGACTCTCTCTTATGCTCTATAACCAGTTACCTATCTCGCAGTCCAAACCACACCACTAGGTAACAAGACATTTGTGTTGTAGTTCCCATGCCACTTTTCAACTGAAACAGAATAACCTTAAAAGAAAGCGGATTGGTTTCCTCACAAGCTATACCTATAATCCGTTCCTTCAGATGCTGGACACCCTTCTTTAACCCCAGCCTCTGAATTAGGCAGGGAGAGATTTGCACCAGAATCTTCCACTTTGAAAACAAGTGTCTTAAATCAGGATTCAACAGTTAAGGCCATATTTACCATCTTTGTAACTCAGCTCTGTACTTTTCAACAGACAAAAAGAAAATCCCTCACTAGAGTATCAAAAAAAAATTTTTCTCCTTCCTCACCAAATTTTGTGAAAAGTCCCAAGGAAGAATATCTTCAGATTTGGATCAACTCTGAAACCTTCTGTTTTTTCAGTGTGGCAATTGAAGAAATCCATTGTTTTCACATTTCAGTATGCAAGACAAACTTCACAACTGGCAATCTGCATACCCGCTTGCACTCACAGATCATCGATTCAGCAAGGCTTCAAACTCTGTTTTTGAAGTTAAAACCTTATGTTTTCTAATGATGTATATTACATTATACTGGTGCATTAATTATCTTTCCTTTTCAGCTCTTGAATAGGAGCTTTGCATTTTATCTGAAGTAAGAACGTGAGAAGTCCTGAACTGGATATTAGAACAAGAGATTTCTCCCCATCTAAAGGGGTATCTTAGCTATCAGGCTACACAAACTATCTTCAGCTTGTTTGCTTTCATTTTGACCTCACGAATCTCATGGTCCCATAAAGTGACAAAGTTAGTAACAGGGAAGGGAACAGACAGAAGTTCCCAACTTTTAGGATCTAGAAGTCCTCTATGGGATTTAGACATTAGCATTTACACAATGAGAACCTTGATGCCACCTTAACTTCAAAGCTCTGTATCATTTGCCCTCTGCAAACAACAAAATAATTAACCATAATTAAATAATCTGAACATTATGTCATTTTACCTTACCTCTTGCTTGACACAAGCCATAAAATTTCATTACCTTATTTTGCTTACCAATAGCAACAGTGGACTAAACGTCTTCTGGAGAGCTACGGGGCAATATTCAGTCAGGACTCCACATAGTCATATTTTTACTGAAAACAAGGGTTGAAGCCTGCAGAAATCTACTCAGTAGGACAGACCCTCTGATGTGAGGCTGCCTGTGTGACAAAGCAGCACAGCTGGTTCTGCAAAATCCACTTTGAATGAGACTAGCATTTACATTTCTACAAAAGGTTTCAAACAACTGTTAGAAGACAGGTTCCATTTGTACTTACAGAAGCCGCACCTGGTACCCCCTTCAAAGATGAATCCATTTGGGACAGCTCCATATCGACGCAGATCTGAGAGCTTCCATTGACCCATGACACTAGGAGGAAGGTCTTTTACAAGGACGAGAATGTCATTGCAGAAATGCAGGGTAGCAGGCCCACTCTCTAGTTTAGTGCCAGGTGCTACAAAAACTTGAAATCTATGAACTATCAGATAAGGAAGAAAAAAAAATTACTATAGAAAATATAAGTAAGGTAGCATGACTTATGTTACATAAGTCATTCTGTTCAGCTGTGGTACGTGGACCAAACACTGCCCACACCAAGAGGCTCTAGTATAAAGAATCCAAGTAGAGCCCAGACAGCCCCATGTGAGTAGCTATAAGATCTTTACTCTATTATGCCAGTTTAAGATTGGAAAAAAAAAAACCCAACACATATCTTGGTTTAATGCTACAAATTAGTAAACTGTAATGCTACATTAATTTATCTTAAGTCTTCCAGGCTACTCCCTATCTCAACTTAGTCAGTTATCCAGCCCACACTTCAGTCATACGTCTTCCCTCCTTGCATCACTACATGGGTTTCTTTCTGCCTCCTCCTCTACGCATCCTGTGCCTCTCCTTTCCTACATGCATGCGCAGGTGTATAACAGTGCCCAAGGAGCCCAAAAGCCAAGGCTCAAGGAAGCAGGCATGTTCTAACCAGACCTCTGACACTGATTCATTTGCAACCTTTAATGAACTGCTTTGCTCCTTCCCTAGCAGTAAAATGGGAAAAATCATGTTTTCCCACCTTTGTGAATCTTTTGGGAGCTGGTGATGGTAGATGCCCAGACATTTAAAATGACTAGGAAATTAAGTGATTCATAAGTAATAAACACTCTTAGTTGTCAGTTAATTATTCATATTTCACAGCCGAAATTTCAAAAGAATGGGGAAAAATAAGGAAACAGCTGTCTCACTCGAGTTTACAAAATTCAGCTTCAACTCCCAGCTCCAGTGTCCCCTGTCTTGCAAGGGTCCTTACCTAAAGTAGCAGCTGTTCTAGGCTGGTCTCTCGTCTTCTCCTCCAGAGCTGTTGCTTTCTGAATAGTAAGGTATTGGGCTCAAATCTCACCGTGTTTCAAAGGGAGCAATTTAAGTGAGCAAGCACCTAACTCTCAAATACCTGGTTTGACCTTCACTACTCCTCTATTTTTTTCATCTCGTGATTAGACAAATGAAAAAAAAAAAAATCTGTCTTGGCACAGAGAGGCATCAGGCCATTACATTTCCAGTCAGAGGTTTTAGTGGAGCATTTATCAAGAAATACATAGATTTAGCTTTTGGTTATTCAAAGGTCATACAAACAGCTACCTGCCTATGAAATCTACAAGGCAACTTCCAGGAAGTCTCACTTGTTACAACCACTCTCCTCTTTCTCTTGCCTATGCTTCTTCAAGCATCACAAATTTCAGCTAGGTCAGAGTCTTGCTTCTCATCTAAATACTTGCTGTATTCTTAGTTACCATTTTAGCTGTAAGTCAACTCCTCGTCTGTGACGTGCATTTGGTAAGTTCCCTAAGGCTCCAGCAGAATTAGCCACAAAGTCATTCGAGTGAAATGTGCAAGGAGATCTAACTAACCACAGCTCTACTTACAGCTTTGCCAGTAGTACTGCTAGGGAGCGAATCAATAGTCACACGATGTCCCCTTTTGGGCACACAGTTGTTACACAGCCTGCTTAAACACCAACTGTGAAAAAGATACCAAAACCACCTTGATGAATAATATTCAGTACAGAATCTTTAACACCACTTGGCCCCCTCTGTCCGCTTAACTCTGTTCAGTATTTTGCTGGCAATTAAACCACGGGAGCAGAAGCATCAGGGTTCTTTCAGCCTCATAAATGAGGAATGGAGCACACTCTTCACACAATCAGTTGCAAGTTACAACAGCTGTTTAAAACAAAGAGCTGTAGGCTCAGATTCTAAACCACTATTAAAAAACGCAGCATATTCAAATCCAAACAAAGCCAAAGTAGAGGAATAAATAGATCTGGACATGAATATTTTTGTCATGTGCTGCTTTCTTGGTGAATTGTGATTTTTATTTTTTTTTCCCAAATGCCTCCCAAGACAGTTACTTCTCCTACTCTGAAAAAAAAAAAAAAAATTAATAAGATACATAGCTGAACACATCCATGAACAAAAAGTACTATTGAAGTTCCTAATTTCCTTTAGCTAATATTTTTATCTTCACAGCTAGTCACTGACCTGCAGTACACTAACTTCCTTAGAAAGAGCTGTGGACTCAAGCACTGTTCTCACACCAGACTTAGATACCTCAAGTCATTTAATTCCACTGTTTTCTCTAATCCTGCTTCTTTTATTCCAGGAATCACATCCACCTCTTCTGCTCTCTGCTACAAACAGAGAGAAAACACTGGAAACTCCAGTGCAAACACTTCCATTCTGTGGTCTTCATTCAAAAACAGCATCAACTCCTTCCCCTCCTCTTTTTTTTTTTTTTTTGCTTCCCAGACTCTGAAGTCATCTGTCCTTAGTCTATTTTTATCATCCAGCCACCTTACTTCCAAACCACACAAAGGCATCCTTCCTATTCTTTAAGATAAAACATGTCTCCATCCTCTCTTCATATATCTCCACTCTTCTCTATTTCTGTCTAGTGAAACTAGAGATTCACTTTAATTTGGCTTCTTTCTCCCAGCTGAACCTTCACCGAAAGATAATAAAAACCTGAACAAGTTTTCTATACTCTGGTTTATCCTCCTTCCCCTGAGCTTTTTTGCAATTAACGTTCTACAAATTGTTGCCAGTTCAACTAATCACACTTGTTCTCTTACTTCTTTGTAGAAGCTGTCTTTCTCACAGCTTTCCTTTAAAAAAAAACTCTGCTGCTTCTGCATATCCTCCTATCACAACCATAACCCTCACACTCAGATTGAGATTAAATACACTCTCCATCCCAGCACCGCACCAGCGCAAGATTGTGAAAACCAGACCCACCCTGTCAAATTCAAATTCTCCTTCAGGTTTTAGGTCAAGTCTATGCTGTACATAGATCCCAAATCTAGCAAAGAAATAGAACTGGAACACAATACAGCTATATCATCAAAGCATACCAACTACTCCAATCACTCGTGTTGTTCAGAAACCGTCTCTTGCCTTTCCTCTTACGGAAGGCTTCGTATTTGATAGCTCCAACTGGTACATCCATACATCTCTTCTGATACTTCTACATTTTATTACTGTAAAAATCCCAGGCTGTCTTTCTATGTATGTACTGCAAAGGAACGAGTCCACAAATGCAACAGATGGCAAAGCATATGTAACAAATGATTAAGATGGCTAATGTGTGTCTCCCACACACCTACCCTCCTTCCCTAGTTATGACTAAACAAATATAAGACAGATACCATGGATTACCAATATTATCACTCCCAGTTCAGCACTGTACATGTTAGAGCTGCTAACCAACAAAATAAAATAAAAGGATGTATAAGAGTGAAGTTAGCTAGAAAGACCGTGCCTAATGACACTCCTTATTGCAAGATATTCCTTCCTCAAAGGGGACACTAGCAGCAATAAGAATTATCAATGCAACAGCTAGTAAGCAGCTCAGAAAACTGGGGTTGAACTAGCCAAGTTCTACTCAGGACTCTGCTTCTCTGAATTCAGGCTCCTTCTGAACCCTGTTGTCAAAATCTCCAAGTAAATTGCAGGACCAGAAGTAGAAATTTGATCATTTTGCTTCAAAGCTACACAGTTTCAGTGTCAAAATCAAAATCCAAGTTAAGAGCTCTCCTAGTTGGCCATCAGTACTGTAATCAAAATCTGTCATAAGGGACATCTGCTGTAAGATGTAAGGGGAAGACCAGTCTCCTCACAGTGACAGTCTTTTCCTTAACTGTACTTTGTTATTTGCGTTTTAGCTATGCTTTTCTTTGCTTTTTTCCCTACTGGGTGAAAAAAAAAAAACAACAACGACAGCAACAAAAGTGTGAGAAGACAAAGGTTACCTTCCCCCAAACTGTAGCGGATTCGTACATCCCACGCATACATTGTTTCCTTGTTCTCAAATCCCAGCATCACAACTTGAGAGAGACAGATGATTGCAAGTGTGTGATTCAAGCCCTCATAGGAGAGCCCAGGATCCAAGCCACAGATGTCTTCTAAGGTCATGCTGCTCCTCTCCTTATGTCCTTTTGCTCGTTCAGATTTATCCTTGTACACCAGCATGAGCAAACAGTCTAAAAGAAGCAAAACTGTCAGAGATGATGAGGCAGAACATAGAATATAATACATTTCTCAGTACTCTGCTTCAACATAAAGATGCTTTAGACAACTGCAGGGTCAGTCTGATCAAGTCAATGTAAGAACTGTTTCTTTTTCCCACTCCCAGGTAGTTTGCAGTCATTGTTTTCAGGAAGCAAACACTGAAGGTATGTTTCAAGGGTAACCTGCAGGTTCAGAAATAAGGAGGCAAGTAAAATGTCTTCTCTGTTTCACTTTTCAAAAATTCAATATTTTTCCAAATACTCCCCTGACTCTGGAAGGGACTGAATCATTACGTCTGAACATTAGGAGTTACACTATGATAGCTGTCTATACTACAGACACTAAAGAGGCTATTGTCATCTATATTTCCATTAGAACATACTGAACCACAAATGAAATTCTTACAGTAGTTCACAGATTACTCAACTACTAAATGATGAGCAGACTGCACTGCCAGATTGTTGGTGTCAGCTCAGGTTTCCTAGTTAAATGTTACACAGTAGCCATTGCTAAATAATCATTATGTGCCACACTTTTTTTTTTTTTTTTTAATATTTGCTTATATCACCACTCTTTTTTAACCCTTTCCTAGAGGTGCTTATTACACAGTAACCATGCAACAGAATAAAGTAATTCAAGCGCCATGGTCCCATGGGGAAAGCACACTTCACAAGCAAACCCAAAGGACAAGGAAAAGGGGAGAGACCTCTCCCACCTTTTGCATTTGTAACAAGAGCACTCCTCTTTCTCCAGGTTACCTTCCTATCACATGGCACTCAGCTGTAAATGAAATTAATGGTCAATATCAAAGCTGCAACATCCACAGCTTAAGCTGACCTACATACCACAAAGGAGGAAGCCCCCATGCACCATTTTATGAATGTTGGGGTGTGGTGCTCCAAGCCCTGGCGAGATGCCCTGCAGCTCTCAGCTGGGCAAAGGCCTGGCAAGTCTCCAAAGAGGTGAAAAACGACTGAAAGACTGAACCGCCTGCTAACTAAAGCGGACCTCCGCATGGACTCCCAATTGTTTTCACGCACCTGTTAGCGAAAACAGCTGCAACTATGGTATTTAAGCATTCTGCAATACAGTTGTGTGTCTGAAGAAAGAACAACTACAGTTTACAGACCAAGAAAAGCAAATCACTGGGGGCTTTTTCTGGTAAATCTGGCTAATTTTGCTAGAATAAAATACTGAGTTTGAGGAATAAGCTACACTATCAGTCAGTAAGTTTCCAGAGCAAGCTCCCTCATCTTCCTCCTTCAAACCTGCCTTACTCATGTTAGAAATCTAGGCCTATCTTCACACGTCTAGTTACTAGCTGTAGTATCAACGGATGCCCAGTCACACAGAGAAGTTTAACAGATTCAGCCAAGATATCGGCATTTAAGACTCCTCTAACGTAACTGTAACAACTCAAGTAACAAGGAGTTAGGTCTGAGAAGCTTCAATTACCAAGAAACCTGCAGTCTACCAGCAACAACCCAGGGAAGATGCCATAATCCATTCCACAGCAATGCAGATTCACGTTGTCTAAGCATAGACAGCATTTAGCCCTGGAAAGACATACTTTTGGGCCCAAATGTTTTTCCCTGTTAGCAAGCGATGGGGAAACCTGAAACCTACTTTTCCCTCTCCAGCAGTAAAACATCGACTTTGAATAACATTTGCAGTTTCCCCTTTGAAAGCACGGAAATTATTTTTTTAATTCAAAATGTCATTTTATTTTTAAATCGAAGTGATATGTCATGTCAAAACACAGATCAAAAATAACTACCGAGCTTACAACGCCAGCTTTTTTTTTTTTATTTTTACAGCCACCAATCACTCTGAAGAAATAATAATAGTTTCAAAAAAAAAAAAAAAAAGAAATTGCATTTTAAACGGGAACCAAAACCAAAAAACTGTGCCTTGAATAAGTCAACTTTCCCGTTGGTTTTATTCAGCGCCTGGTATTAAGCTACTTCAAGCCTTCGCTCCGACACCGGCGCCGCACCCGGGCTCGGCCGGCCGCCCGGCGGACACGCGTTACACCCGCGCACCGGCCCCGG